TCAGAGTCCAATTTCGGCAATAAAGAGAAGTGTCGGTGGAGTGGCTGCAGATTAAGAAATGGCAGCAACTGCCTTTGAATTGAGACCAAACAGGCTCGCCTTGGTGGTTTCCAAGAGATTTGTTTGGAACCATTATTATTATTTAAATAAAAGGTACAACAATCCATTGGGGTTGAGTGGCTACTTCCACTTATTGTTTTTTAGAAGAGAAATAAGCCCTCTTTACTGTCCACTATAAAGGAGCCCCAGTTCAACGCACGCGTTGCATATAAAACGTTTGACATTTCCAAGCGCAGCCTATGTGATCTCAGGTCAGAGGCTCGGGGAAGGCCTGTTCCTTGCGCCCTGGCTAGGGATGGCCAAGTGCGGGCCTAGAAGGAGAGGGTGAGCAAGGGCTCTTACTTAACTCCCAGATCAAAACCCTGGTCCTTCAACAGCCCAGAGCACCCCGGCAAACTTTGCACACCGAAGCAAGTTTGTCTAGGGGCGCGCGCCTGACTTATCCACGCAAACGCCTATAGCTGGCGCGCAATGACGCGCAGGAATTGCTCTTGGGTGGCCGTTTCCCACTCACTCCCACTTGCTACTAAAACATTGCTGGCTTGAATGTGAATGCTTTTCTTTTTTATCTAAGCAAGACTTGGAGGAGTCCATCCTGGATCTATTCTTCTCCTTTTTAAAAAAGTGGGTCCTTGGACCTTGATTTCAGTGAGCTGCAGACTGCGTTTGAAGGGAGCTGAAATTATACTTCAGCAAGGGCCTCAGGGAGAGAGAGGGGGAGAAGGGGGCAGATCAACAGACCTGAAGAAGTTGTGCTTCCCTTCCAGCGGGTTCCTTCAGGGGGCTGGAGGAAGGAGAAGCCCCTGCTTGGGGCCCTTCAGAGAGAATGGACCTCAGGTCAACAAGAGGTTAGAATGAGAGGCGTAGGGGCGCCCAAAACCTGTCCACACCTTCATTTCCTCACTGCGCACCGGAGTTTGATTTTGAACTCAGCGGCTTGAGCGTTGGTCTTATGAAGGAGGAATTCGGGGTCATTAAGTGGGCTGCGGATCAGGACTTGCTCCCTACCAACTGACTGTATAGCTAGCCAAAGGTTCCTAATCGCAGTGTCTGATGACACCGCGCCTTAGATCGCAGCAGCTTTCGCCAAGCTGGTGCCCTCCAGCTGATGTTGGAATACAACACGCCATGAGCACCAGCCGAAACTGCTGGGAGTTGTACTCCAAAATCTTTGGTTGGCCGCTGTGGGAATAGGATGCTGGACTAGACGGGTCATTGGTCTGATGCAGAAGGCTTTCCTTACGTTCTTAAAAAGAGTCTGCTGGATCAGACCAGCATCCTGCTCTCACACTGGCCAACCTGCGTTGTACAACCCCCACAGCCCTATATGGGGGGCATGTTGGAGAAGGCTGCGTTATAAGGCCTTGACCCCTGGACACATAGGCTAGTGGGGAAACCCTCGCGTCTCAGCCAATAGATATGGACTCTGTTGCAATTCTGAACCGGAACGCTTTGGCAGAGAGGGGAGGGGGAATTGTAGGCAACAGAAGCAGGTGTAACATATAAAAGAAAGATAAAGAAATAAGGTGGGGGGGGGGGCAACAAGCTGTGCTCGCCTCCAACTGGTCCTTTCTCGATTGAGTAAAGACAGGGTGAGCCAGGAACCGTTTTCTAGGCACTAACCACAAATAGAGAAGTTATTTTTCTCGGCGTTTGATAACATTGCGGCAGGGTGTTCGCCAATGGAAGGAGATATTTGCTGTTGCAACAGGGCTTTTTAATGGATTGCTAGTGGCTTGGCCCAAAGTTAGTATTGCAAACAGCCCAAAGGCATCAGCTTGTTTGCAGGTGACACAAGGAAGATCGTATTTTGACTCTACATTTCTGTTTATTTTCCATTTATCACACAGGCCAAGAGGTTTTAATCCCAAACGAAAGGAAAATAAATGGTTATCTCTTCTCCTTCCTTCTTGTTTCTTTCTTTTCTGGTGAAACCTTGCCTCAACTGTATACATACATACACACACAGAATTATTCACGACAGTTTTCTATAAACGGAAAACGATATTATCTCTCAAAGCGGGCCCCAAAGATCTATTGAAGAGCACACGCCCTGTACCAATTGAGCTCAAGAGATGGAACAAAGAAAACAAAAATCGCCCAGAAAAATACTATCTGGGTAAGTTTTCTCTGGAGTGAATAACAACAGAACCATGACCTTTTCTCTCTCCCTCCCTCCCTCCCTCTCTTGGATGGACTGCTGAAGAGCAAATTCATTAAAAAGCTGTAGTAAGCATCAATGATTTTCATTCTCTCGGAGTTGAATGGAAAGCTCCAGCAGCCTGATTTGTCCCTTAGAAACATTTACATTGGCAAACTGGAGTGAAATCGGATTCAAAGTGGGACTAGGAAGGGGCTTCCATTAGGGTATAAGGTGCCTTGACCCAGCCTCTGAGTGATGCGGCTTTGGAGCAGTTCTGCAACAGAGATACACTCGGATTGGAAATCTAATCCCGGCCCCGTGCGCTTGGAGAGCTCCAGGCACACCAGAAAGGCTCCAGAGTCGGAGTCTCTCCAAAAGTAAAAAAAAAGGACCAAGCGCGCGTCTTTCCCGATTAGAAGCTTCTGTCAGCCAATCTGATACTGGCGAAGGCTCAGGGTTCTGAGTTCGAATGCTGAGCTGCGGGAGAGGAGGAGGCCACGCGGCGACTCACAGTTGGAACAAGCGGGGCGCGCTGCCCACTTCAGCGCGCAGAAAGGCTGTGCAAATCAATCCTCCCCTCTGCTTGCCTTTCTCGGTCTCTAGCTGTGACGCTAGGGGTTTTTTAACCCGTTGCTCGCGGCGTGTGAAGCCATCAGCCTGCTATCTACTGTAGAACACTCCAGAGAGCGCGGAGAAGGGCCGAAACCAGACGTAGAGCGCATTGGGAGACAATCGTCTCCCCTATTTATTTTTTTTAAAAAAGGACTTCTCTGTAGGACAAAGATCCCTCTTCCCACCCTCCCAGCCCCACAACCCACCGATCTATTCTCATCCTTAAACAACCCCCCCCTTGCTCTGATTCTTAGTTTTATCCCAATCTCCTGATTCTTTCTCCTACCGAAAGCGAGGAGGTCTGTAAATTTAGCCAAAATGCGTCGTTTTGTTTGCGAATGGATGATCTGGAGCAGAAACGTTTACCTGAGACCGCACGTAGGACTTCGAAGGCACAGCCGATTATCCATAAGTCTACAAGGCCCCTAAAACGCCTGCTAGTCTCAGCAACAGGCGTTTTCGACTTATGTGGAGGTTGTTTTTTTAAAAAAAACTGCTTTAGAAAAAGTCTCCTCTGCGCAGGCAAACCTGGCCGGCTCGTTCCCCCCACCCCGCCTTTTTTTTTTGGAAGAACAAAGACTCCTCTGTCTACCTCTGCAGGTTCAGCGATCCCTTGGAGTTGGAGAGGCGGGCTTGCCTGCGTCCCACTAGCGAGACGGTTTAGGACACCTGTTATCTCTCCTTTCCCAAAGTCCCCTCCTTCCGTTTCTAAAATAATCAAGCAAAACACCACCAGCGTCACCAGTAATGAACAGGTTTTCTTTATTTGTTTCAGCCCGCCCCTCCCTCCAATCACGACACTGAATTCTTATAACAATATTTTCTTCTTCTTCTTTAAATTTTTAAAAATAGGACTGATCCCTGCTAGAGAGGGAGAAGGTGGGGAGGGGAATAAATCTGGGGAGGCCCGGAAATAATTTGTCAGACAACAGGTGAGAAAGACTGACACGAAAGAATTCGAGATTCCACCCCATTCAGGCGAAAAACCCCACGCGCCCTCCTTGAAACTGACAAGAAAGCTGTACAGAATAGCAAATAAGTTACAATTCGTCTTTAAAGAGACTGATTGTCCATCACTTAAAGCGCCCGACACACTCTACCTCTTGTGAAGTTTGGAGTTCAGGAGCAGCTGCCTTTTGTCCGTCCCCCCTTTTTTGTCTCCCCCATTATATTGTGCACTTCTCCCCCCCAAAACCCGACATTTCCTCACCTACAACTCCCCCCACAAAAAATACACCCTATAGTGCTTTCAGAATCGTACAATATTGCACAGGTCAGCGGTATAAACCAGAGGAGCTGCTGCTTTGAAGAAGAAACGGGGACCGGGGAAGGCAAAGAACTACAGCTCTCCACAACATCTTTTTTTTATTATGATTATCATGATTATTATTCTGGAAAGAAAGAAAGAACTAAAGATATACGCACCCGGAACAGAATAAAATAAGGAGTGTCATAAATAATCAAGTCAAAAATGGTTCACGGTGACGCTTGCCGCGTTTCTCCTTAGAGATCCCAGAGAACTGGAGACTCGGGCAGTTAGGACCAACAGATCCTTTCAAAAGTGGACCAGGGCCATAAGGCCAGGAGGCTTCCAAGCAACATAGCACCCCCTCCTCTCCCCGCCAGCATTTGGCACCATCTGGACACGTGATTTCTCCCCACCACCACCACCACCAGGGCACGAGGGTGATCTCCTTTTGCGCAACGCTTCTCCATTATTATTTTTTAATAGCCAAATCCACCTTAAAGCAAAGCAAAGACAAGCGCTCTCATCAGCCCCCACTCTCTACTTCTACAGAGCCCGGGTTGTAGTTCTGTGGTGGTCTCATCACGACCGTTCTGTCCTCCTCCTGAACAACCCAAAAGTAGAAGGAGCGAACCGCGAAGGGGAAGAGTCTCTCCACGCCGGGCGTTGCGCAGAGCATCCGGGCGCTACTTACACAGCCAAATCTTTGCTTGGTCCTTGGTGGTCCTTGGTGATGGGGGCCGATCGCTTCGTCCCGGAGGCCTGGGCTGCGAGAGGCAACAGAGGGTGGCTGTCCCTCAACGCAGTTCTTAAAGAAGCCACCCTCCTTCCATCCATCCATGACCCCTTCTCATGCCTTCCTTCCCTCCCTCCCTCCCTGCTCCATTCTCCTCCTGCCTCCCTGACTCGTCCCCTGTCCGTCTGAGCTAGGCCCAGTCCTCAGACGGGCCGCAGGAGCGGCACGGAGGTGACCACGGGGTGCGAGTAGTAGACGGGGTGGGGGAAGGTGAGCAGGGGCTGGCTGACAGGCGCGCTGGTCGCCGTCGGGCCGCCTCCGCCGCCTCCGCCCGCCCCGCTGCCCCCGCCGTCGGCGCCGGCGCTCTCGTGGTACAGGATGGGCACCCGGACAATGCGCTGCGCCGCAGCATGGCTGAGGTTGGCCGCCTCCAGCTCGGCTGCCAGCTGCCGCTTCCACTTGTTGCGCCGGTTCTGGAACCAGATCTTGACCTGAGTCTCGGTGAGGTGGAGCGAGGCGGCCAGGCCGGCGCGCTCGGAGCTGCTCAGATAGCGCTTCATGTCGAAGGTGGACTCCAGCTGGAAGACCTGGCTGCGCGAGAAGACGGTGCGAGTCTTCTTCTTGCGGCAAGGTTTCTTCTCCGGGCTGCCCGCCTCCGACTCGCGCTTTGGCCAGTCCTCGGCGCCGCTCTCCTCCTTCTTCACCTCCTCCGAGTCGCTCTCCTCCAAGATGATCTCGTCGGGGCTCTTGGAGTCCAGCTCCTTCGCCTCTCGCTCGGCCTTCAGCAAGGGCTCGTCCGGGGAGTCCCTGTCTGTGCCCACCGAGGCCGGCGAGGAGTCTCTGAGGAAGGCTTTGTCCACGGAAACTGCAGAGGAACAGCAAGACACACGCACACAAAGAGCAAAAGTCAAGATCCGAGCAGCCAGCGAGGCCACCGTCAACCCTGCTCGACTGTCAAGCTCTCTCTCTCTCTCCTCCCTGCTGAGCGGAGTGGAGCTCACTCCCTGGAAAGTGGGCTTGTGACTGAACTCACGAGGGAGTAAACCTAGTGGGACACAGCTGGGGCTTACTTTCGAGGAAACGCACCTAGGAGGACGCTGGGACGCTGCCTCTTCGGGGTGACTCTGCAGAGACACTTCCGAGAAAGAGACCTGGCACGTTTGATACAGTTAATGGGACTTCTCTGCTCGGTAAAGGGAAAAAATGCGTATGATGGCAGTTATGAGAACAGAATGATTAGAGTAGATCCATTGAGATGAATGGCCATGACTAACTTAGGTCCATTCATTTCAATGGGTCTGTTCTGAGTAGGACAATAGGGAAATCTGCAGTCTGTGTGCTTGGGAAGAAGTCATTTTTATTCCCAGTCACTTAAGTCGGGATGAAATCCAATGCACACTTCTCTTAGGACTAAGCCCCATTGAGCGCTGTGGGACTTCCTCCTGCCCTCCACCCAGCAGCCTTGACTCCCTCCTATTCCTGCAATGGGCTGGAGAACAAGTCCCATTTAGCTGTATGGAGCTGACTTTCAAGTTCTGAGTTTTTAAGGATTGAGCCCTGGGCTCCTTCACCGAAAGGCTGCGATCCTAACTGCTCCTAACTTGAGCGTGAGCACCGTGGAAGTCAATGAACTTCCTGAAATGGCCTTTTCCTTGCTTCTCAGACACATCCCCACCGTTAGTTGATAGGCTGATTTGCTTGTGAGTAAGCCTCGTCGGATCCTAGCTACACTTCTTTGGAAGCAAGTCCTGTGGGGGATTTCATGGGACTTCCTTCCAAGAAAGTGTGGTTGGGACGAGAGACGGAACCAGAGATAAGATATTTAGATACAGTATGATAAATGCCTCTTGTTTCTGAATAAATCCCGTGGAAATTAGAGTGGCACCAAACTTGGAGGGGAGAGGAGAGTAACAGATGGGGCGCAGATGGGGATGAGAAGGTGGCCAGGGGTGGAAAGACGGGGACTCCGTTCAGTGCATATAGTTTCTTGGTGATGAAACGAAAGCCAACCTTTGATCTCCACAAAACTAAATAAATGTTCTTCTGGCGAGTGCCTACAAGTCAGTGATGACTAAGGAAACATCGCTACTTCTCATTGATATGGGGAAACCCCAGCTCACACCTGGAAGGCTTTATTTGCCCCAGGGGAGAGCTTGTTTGGGAGAAGAAGGGGAGACCTGGCTGACCCTGGAGAGCAGAGACCACCGAGGAAAACCACAACGGAGCAATGGAGATGGAGTCCAATCATCTTGGTGACAAAGACTTGGGCTTCCTTCAGGAAGAGACCTGGACCCCCTTGGCTCGAATGGGTTACTGAAATGGATGGGTGGGTGGGGGGCTGAATAGACTGGGGAGGGGAAGAGGGAGAGAGATGGAGAGAGGACTTTGATCTCCAGTACCTTCTGGCCTAGGCAGGTGGCCTCCGGCGGGCGTCAAACTGTAAGGATACCACCAGGCAGGGGACCTCTCCAGATAGTGTGCAGGCAAAGCAAATCTCTGCGCCGGGATCTCGAATCTCGGGAAGGCGAGGTCACCCATCTGCGACAGGGCGAAGCCGGCCCCCTCCAGAGCCCCCTTGGCCACCGGAGGGAAGAGCGCCCGGGGCTGCTTAGGAGACGCCTTGGGGTGGTCCCCATTGAGCAAGTTCTTGATGGAGAACGGCGACTCCTTGGGCTGCGACGACGGAGGGGGCTGTTGCTGCTGCGGCGGCGGGGGCTGCGCTTGGCTGCCGGGGGCGTCCTGTCCGGTCTCGGGCATCCTTCCCACGTTGCCCACGTCCGCGGGACGGCGTTCACACTGCGCTCCGGAGTGGCTCCGAGCTGGCCGATGGCATGGGGGAAGGACGGCAGGGGGAAGGAAAGGGAGAGGGGTGGAGTGGAGGTGGGGGCCGCACTACACCCGGACGAGTCCCGGTCCTCCAGCCAGCCAGGCAGCGAGACTCAGAAGTCCGTGGGGGCCGCTTCTCCTCCTCTTCCTCTTCCTCCTCCTCCTGCCGGTGCTGCTGCTGCGGCTTCTCCTGCGTCAACCCGGCGCCGAATGCTAACGCGGAAATCCAAATGTCAACCCCAGTGGGGTGACGCTGGGCGGCGGCAGCGGCGCTGGGGCGCGGAGCGTGGCAAGCGGCCTCGGGCCGGGCAAGGCGTCGGCTGGGCCCCCGGACTCCCCCAGTGGCACTAGGCAGGGCAAAGCAGAGTGAGTGAGGGAGAAGAGGGAGAGAAGCGAGAGGCAGGCGGCGCGCACCCCCCTCCCTCGCCTCTCCCCGCCGCCGCCGCCTCCGCCGCCGCCCCGTCCATCTCTCGCTGCCTCCACGCCCCCCTTCGATTTGGTCCTTTGGCTCCAGGCTACGAGAGCTCGCCTCTTATTGGCTTTATATAGTCCAATTAGGCAGCAAATGAGGACAGGGCTATTAGCACAAAAGGGTATTGGCTCGGTTGAAGAACCGCCGCGCCGAGGAAGGGGGCGACGAGGACGCACAAAGTGAGGACCCCCCTGCAACACACACACACACACACACACACACACACACACACACTGCTCACTCTGTACAAACTCCCCTACCCATGACCCTCCGGAAGAAAGATCAGAAGGAGGGTCGCACGCCAAACCTGCCAGCCAGCCTGGACACCTCCTCTGCGCTATGGGGTTAGGGATGGGGCAGGAGGCAGCGGCAGGGATTTTCCTTGGGGTTGCTTCCCCAAGGATTGGAGGGCGGGGGGAGACTCGACTGGCCGCCTCCGACACACCGACAGCAGCAGCCAAACCCAGCCTCGCTCTGGTTCGCTTCCCCGGCGCTGCGGGAGCGAATCCCGTTTGCCTAAAACGGGTCGGCCGGCGCTGCCCTTCTCTAGAGCAGCTTCATCCCATCCGGGGTGAGCCCTCGGGGTGGAAAAGTACCCCAACACCATCAGCACCACACCAGCGATCCCATCTCCCCGCACACAAAAAAGCTTCGACGTGGGATGTGACCTTTCCCCAGGGGATCCATAGCTCGATCACTTCAAAACCAAAATAAAACCAAAATAAAAAAATAAAAAATGCTGGCCTTTTGGAGAAGGCGCTCGCAATTGAAGTGTCAGATTCAAAGCTTCTCCACAGAGCTATTTCCCGAGAGAGAAATAAAGATAAATGGAGAACGGGATCCAAATAGATATAGACTGTTCTCTCTATAGATCAAGACAGATAATTGTTGCCAAACCAAACGTCACCAGCAGCCTAAGACCAGATGAACAGGAACGGGGTGAAAGCAAAGTGTTCCTCGCCACGGACGCCAAAAGGCCACAGATGCACCGATTATTATTATTATTATTAATAATAATAATAATAATAATAATATACTCTAGAACTTAAGCCCCATTGGTCCCGGTGAGACAAATATGTGTAGGAGCGAGGATAAGTCTAAGAGCTTAAAGCTATTGCTCGTTGTGCATATTCTGCGAAGAGGTTTTTCATTCATGTAAAACCGGTCTGTCTCTCATTAGGTTGCTTTCTGCATCCTCTGAACTCTCTCATGTTTAAGCAAAATAGATTTAGGGAGAACCCTATGCCTTTGAACTTAGCGGGGTTTGCTTCTGAATATACATTGTAGGATCACCTTGTTAAAGACTGAATATGGTTTCCTAAATATAGGTAATGTAAATTTAAAGCAAGAACGCTGCACAACTATGCTCAGGTAGTTTTGGAGGTTTCACCTAAAAAAAGAGGTTGCCTGCTACTTGCCAAAATGTTGTTTTTTAAAAAAGTGGGACAGAATAAAACATATGTGGAGGGCACAGTGCTTTCTACACTCACACGCCGGACACACTCTCCTCTAATGTGCCTTGCTTGAATTTAGTTTTTCTTTTTTGCAGTTAGGTTTATTGCTTTTTTGGTATTTTTTGGGGGGAGAAAACAAATTTGGTAAGAAATGTGAAGGGTGCTTATAACGTAGATCGAACAGAAGCAAATTTCTCCCCCCCCCTTTTTAATAAAAAAACCTGAACTTAAAAATACCTTGGCATCCCTGCACACAACTGTTTTTTGCTGTTGACACGAGGAAATCGAAGGAAGCGATCGTGGGAATCTAATCAAAGTCACTACTTTGCAACTGAAAAAAATCCATTCAGCTACAATAGTTCGTTTTGCTTCCCATATTTTTCCAGATATCCCTGCCACATCCTACCTACCAGTTTTGCAAATTCTTTTCTTTCTTTCTTTCTTTCTTTCTTTCTTTCTTTCTTTCTTTCTGAGTCACGGACCCCTTCCCCATACCCATATTGCCCTTCTACGAATCTTTCCTAAAATTAAACACACATTTTCCGAATGTTTTACACTGTTATTGTTGTTGTTATTGTTATTATTACTACTACTACAAGGGGAAGAGGACAAGCATCATGGATCACGTCATTGCTTTCAGACAGAAATCCGCGTTAAAACTTTATCGACACCCCGCTCCAGAGCAGTGTTGGCTTGGCTTATCTGAGATGCCTTCAAAAAACCCGGGCAAACATGAAGATGCTGCCGAGGTGCCTCTAAGGAGAAACAAACCACCCTGGGTGAAATCAAGCTTTTGACCAGTGTCACATCTGGTTCTCGCAGAAAATGAAGATTGGTCTTTATAGACTTCGAAGGTGACCTGTGAAATATATCTTAGACGCACACCCACTCACCGAGAGCATTATAGCTGGCTGAAAAGATATGAAAAATGTAATGAAATAGAAGTTCCTATTAATGTCATTGCTGGGAGAAGGAGGTGGCTGTTGTTGTTGTTCCTCCCTCTCATCCCCTTTTTGTTTGTTTGCTTATGTAACTGGGCAAAGTCACACGCCGTGGAAGTCGGTAGCTGTATGAATAACCACAGGACAGATCAGGATAGATCTCTTTATAAGTCCGCTTTGCCTAAGTGGCTGCTGCTTCTGAGAAATCGTGGCTCTCTCTTCCTCTTATCGAGATCGTTCTCAAATGAAAGTCACGTAACAGATGGATTTTCCCCACCGCCACCCTCCCCAAAACCCATTGCTTCCTTGCCGCTATAGTGTAGTCTTGGTGTCGTCAATATGGAATTATTGGCATGGTCTTCATGATCGGCGATCAAAAAGGAAAGCAGATGCCTATCACTAGTCTGACTGGCTCAGTCCTATATGTATCGGATATACATTGTTTTGAATGGCGTTGCCACCAGCACTTTGTGGAGCGCGTGTGTGCGTTGGGGGAATTAATTACGTGAAGTAACCAAAATAACCCGCTTGCACTCTTCCCGGCTCCGGTTTTCCCCTTAGCAAAACTAAAGGGCATAGCGCCCTCTGTTGGACTTCCCTGCGATAAAGAACCGTGGTTTCTGCTTTATTCTACGCGACGGTTCAGGAGTCTTCTGGGGGTCCAGCGGCTGTGCGTGTGACTGTGTCCATTTTCCACCGAGATCCAGAAAGAAGAGACCTGTGGCATCCTAAAGACGAACAGTTTTATTGTGACATAAGACTTTTGTGGATTAGTACCCACTTCAAGAGGTGCTTGAATTAAGTTCATGCTTCCAGAGGCTGTGCTTACGCTGTTGCAAAACCTCCAGAGTCCTGCAGCACCTTAATTAAAGAGAAGTCGTTCACCCAAGTCTACACCATTATAAATTTGCTGGTCTTTAAGGTGCTACAGGATTCTTCCTTAGGAAATGAGGCAGGCCCTAGTCCATCAAACTTTTCGCCAGGATAAATCTGTCTTCTTCTTTTTTAAGGGGGCTGCTGTGCACGCTGGCCCTACTATTAGGCAGAGTGGGGCAGCTGCCTTAGGCGGCAGAAGCTGAGGGTGAGCGGTAACAGTGGGCCAACCATATCCCCTGAGTGTCCCAAGCTTGCCTCCCCTGCACAATTTAAGCAAGTGTGTTGCCTCAGAGTTGAAATCAGATTCAGCTGCCCCCCTGGTTGTATTTTTTATATGCAAATGGGAAGGATACCAAGGCAGCAAAATGTCTTGGCCCAGCCCTGCTGCTTTAACTAACTGTGCAATCCCACACATGCATACTTAGAAGGAAGCCTGACTCAGTTACTCCTAGTAGATTGAAACTTAACATGCTTACATTCCCTCTGGAATACATGAATTTAGGCTTTTTACCCACTCCTATTTATTCTGCATCCAATGCTGGTTTGGCAAACAGTACACACATGAGTTTAGGCATATGTCCTGTTGTTTCTTACGAAATGTTGTTGTGGTCTCTCCCCCCCCCCCACTCAGTTTTGACCTGAATTGAGAAAAAGAACAACCCAGCTGTATCTAAACCAGTCATGTGTACACAGCCTTAGTATGATACAAATGGCAAATGAACCAACCCAGGGATCTTGTACAGGCAGGCTTTGCCATATATTGTTGGACTACAACTCTGATCAACCCCAACCAAGAGATAGGGATGACGGGGGCTGTAGTCCAAAATAGCCATAGGGAGCCACTTTGGCTGTCTCTGATGAACATCACAAGAAGTTCTTGTCTGGTTATACTGCTTTTAACAGCACTTTCACTTACTGGGTCTTAAACTCAAAGGAAATAAGTGTATTTGAAGGCCCTGCATTTGATGCAAAGGGAGAAAGAGACAAAGATCAAGTGATCCCGCCTTCTGTCTGGAAGGACCAGCTTCTCCTTATGCAATATTGATGGCTGAATGGAAGTGTTTCTATTTCTGGGGCCTGCGAAGAAGAACTAGTGACGTCTCTTGGCTTGCAATCCAGGGCACAGTTCACCTGCTCAAACACCATTCACCTCAATGGGATTTCAGCATCCCTATTTCAGCAGTAACT